CTTCAAGTTTTTCTTTTGCGTCCTTGGCACTGTATTCCTGGCATCATTTTTCTCCGAGATATGGGTCATGTTTGCTCTCAGCTGAGCTCCCTCACCTTTCAATCCCTCTCACTCTTTGCACTAAGCCATCAGCATTTGGACTCCCCCGTCCTGTTCCACGTGCGCTGGGTGGGAGATGCAGGCTGCTAAAACCACAGCCAATTTCCTCGGCACCTTCTCCTTTTCTTGCCCGGTGTTTATTTTTCACGTGAAAACCACTTGGAGGGGGACATAACCATTTTTGCCCAGTCTCTTAACTCCAGTAGTGTTTTCTTCAAAATGCATGTTTTTAACCAGCTGGAGGGAGAACAGGCTTTAGTCTCATTTGCGTCCCCAAAATATACAGCTACAGGCAAGGCTGCCCAAGCCTCACTTTTGGAAGGAGCATTTCTGCTAGGCCAGAAGTGTTTCAGAGCTCGCATTAAGACAGGAGGTTGGCACACAAATGCCAAGGGAGACCCTCAGCTTCAGCAGACTCAGCTGTGACAGGAGTTCAGAAATCCAAGGTGCAGAAGGCAGAGCAATGCTAACGCTTCCCTGGGGAGATGCTGCTTTCTAGCCCCTGCAGTTACCTGGCTCTGAGAGTGAAAACATCTAAGCTGCAATTGCTCACCCAAGTTTCCAAGCCTTTGGGCCAACCATTGCTACTTCAGATCATCAGTCCATGGAGCGACTCAATAGGCTTAGCCCTTCTCTCCTCATCTGAAACCAGACTTGGAAAAGAAAATCCCTGCAGCTTTCCCCGTGAATTTGCTTCCCATTACGCCATCGACTTTTGAGACCTGATGTGCACTGTGTCTCTTCATTCTCCCCTCCAACTAAGCCTGACTGTTAGCAAGACAGCGCGATTGAATTGCATTTGAGAAAGTCATACGTGAAGTGAGCGAAACTTGCTGCCAAAATACCACCCCACTTATGGGAAATGAGAGGATTGTATTTCATTTTGCAGTTCACTCAGCTGAATCCCAAAGCCTCTGGCTGCCTGAAAAGCCACCCTCTTGGCTCAAGCACTTTTTGCTAGTGACAATTTACAAATTCAGAGCATCGGCATGTTGTAACAAAGCAAACTCCAGCTGCACTCTTGCCATAAAAGATGCGGTGCGGCAGTCTCTGCTTGCCATATGCTCACAAAGTTTCTCTTTCACAGCCTCTTCGTCATCAGACACTGGTGACTACTCTGTCAGCTGATGGCAAAGAGTATTTGAAAGAATTTCTTTTACAGACACAAACCCAATAGCTCCTCTGGCATAAACAACTTGTGACTGCATTCAGGTAGGGCTACAGAGAAACCTTTTTTTTGGGGAATCAAAATCAAAGCAAAACTTAGGTTTAGAATGAGCAGAAGTGGTCTGAATCCATTCAGCAGCAATTCTCCTTTTCTGCACTTCTTTTACTCCCACAAGCAAATCCATGCCCAGTTTGACTTGCTAACACAAGCAGGGGAGACCTCAGTTTAAGTCCTCTCCGCCTGACTTGAACCATCAATACCTAAATTCCCCAGTGACACACTCAGATGGGGCAGGGTACACGAGTGAGATTTTCTACTTTCCTCCTCTGGAGTACTGGCTCTAGCAAAGTCCTGCTGATTTACACTAATTTAGCTCTGCCCTACTCTTTCCTCAGCTCTTGAGGGAAAATATCAAGGACAAAAAAATATTAAAAAGGGAAATACATAAAAACTTCTTTTTCTAGAGCACAAATATTTCTGCTTTCAGTTCTAAACAAGATCCCAGGGCATTGAGGTTGTTTTTGTTTTCCTTGATACCAGTGCTCAAGAACACACCAGAAACACCCAGTGACCTAAAGGAGGTCCTAAGGACGCATTTTGGTTATTATCAGGAAACTGCAAAGATGAACAGGATGCAACCTTCAGAAATCAGGTGGTTTCTGATGGGGAGAAATTAGTGAAGCACAATTACAGTAAACAAAAGCAAAACAAAAATAACAGCATCTGTGAAATGGGTCCTAAAACCTATTATCCTTCTTTACAATGAATCTCTTCATGAAGGCAAACGGATCAAGTGCTTTCTAAACCTAGATATATCCATTTGTAGAGCATCTCTAAGCACCTACACCTAATTGCATCTTTCTGGCAGAAGAATTTGATTTTTGTTTCAGAGCTTTGTACCACTCACGACTAAGCGAATTCTCACTAGTCCTGTTCCACGTTAGAGGCCAGAACTTTTAGTGAGGGGATAATCCAGTTATTAAGGCCTTAGCCTGCAATACAAGAGACCCCAGGTTTAATTCCCTGGTCTTCCATAGGCTTCCCATGCCATGTAATTACTTACAATCGTTTATGTCACTGCAGTAGTTGAGTGCTCCGATTTTCCAGAGCTCTTAATATCATGGGCTAGAAAGCCCTGTCGCAGCTCGAGTTCACTTTTTGTTGGAGGTAAACACACTCATGATTAGAAGATGCTCACATTAGCATCAGAAGTCTGTGAGAAAAAGAAAAAAATCTACATATTTAGCAGCTAGAAAATCTACTGTCTTCCTTCATAAAATAGTCGCAAGGGAACAAAAAAGCCAGGTTCACCACTCTGTGTTATACTGACACCTAAAAATACTGACCAAACATTATCAGTATGCTGCAAATACAATACCTCAGCAGTGATCACACTTGTTATCATTCTAAAGAAATCAAAGTGTGTGGGTTTTTTCATCACAGTCTAGAGCCCCAGACAATCTCATGACAGGATGTTTCCTTCCTGTTAAAGCCAACATGCTCTGATGCCTCTAAAGCTCAGCATAAGAAAGGGAGGGGGAAACGAGGAGCTCTTCTAGCGAGCAGCTCTTGATCCCAAAAGCAGCTACTGTGAAGTTGCAGAAATTCAGGCTGTAGCCAACTATCATCAGTGCTGTAAAATAAGATGCAAAAGTCACCTCCAGGTAGCAGCCACCCAGGGAACAGAAACACCGAAGAACTGAAAGTCCAGTAAAGATTTCAGTTTCAACTTCCCACTAGTTAATGACAAGGCTCCTGGTTAATGCCCTAAATTTCAGCCTGTTTCCCAAAGCAGACATAGCGTAGTGCTTCTCTCGAGCAACGCAGGTGCATTTCAGAGATGCAGTTTTGCTTTCGCTTGGGTTTCACCAGCAGCCCATGATACAGCAGACAAGCAGGGCTGCGATTACTTTTTCAGGCAAGTAACCAGCAATTGCTGAGTGGACTGTGCAGTTTTGGACATGCTCGGTCGATCTGTATTTAAATTCTTAGCTCGTTCCTCAATTCTGGCCCTCTTTCTCCAGTGCCTCTCATCACGGTGCTTGCCTGTTCATCACAGAAGGGACCCACTGTTAAAAATTGGGCTCTGAACATGGGCTAGAGCAGCCTGTGGTGACTGCAGCTTGCGCTGGCTGTTTCTGCGAGGTTCCTATCAGAACTAGGAAAATAAGCATTTCATCAAGAGGCTAAAACACAAATCATATTTGATTATACCCTGAAATTCCCCTTGTGATGAGCGTCTATCTGACCACATTTTACCTTCATCTCATACTTATGCAAGATACCTGCAACAAATCCACTCTGCTATTACTTGTCACTGCAGAAGAGGAATTGGCTAAGGCATTCAAGAGACCCAATCCAACAACACGAACGTTGCTCCAGAAGTTGCAATGAGTCTGAACTTCACTTTTTTTTTTTTTTTTTTTTTAAAATTTTCAATACGTTGCAGGTTATTTCCAAAACCCAAGAGGGCCTTCAGTATGACAAACGATCATTCCCGAGCACAACCTGTGATTTCAAAGCACAACCCTTTGCCTCCTCAAGTAATGGCTTTTATTCTCAGTTGATTTCTGTGGAATTTATTAGATGCATTTTCAGCTATGGAAAGGAGTTGCTCAGTTCATATACAACAGAAACCTTTCAGCAGAAAACTTCCAGATTCTTGCTACTAAAGATCTGATGAAAACAAACTCTCCTCTTTCCTTTAAATGGTCCCATCATTCATTACCCCATTTCTTTGAGTCAGTCCTCCACAAGTTACTATGAATTACTATCTTATCCAACTATTTCTTAGATCCTCTGTTACCACAATATTTAGTAGTATCCAGTCTTAAATGCATCTTTGTTCACAGTGCTTTTGCAAGGAAAGGGAATACTCTGATCCTTCTCTCTCCAAAGGGTGCTTAAAGATATTAAGTGATTTGATCAGGGGCAGGAAGAAGTCAGTAGCAGAACAGCCAAGTTAGGCCTCCTGATTCCTAGGTTAACACCCTCATCATTTAATCACCTTTTGATTCACTACAGTAAAGCCAGGCAGTTCCAGTGCACTAGGCACCGTTTGTACACACACAGCCTGAAATCTTAAAAAGCTTCATTCCCATGTCACAGGCAAAGATGTGAGGCACATGGATAAGAGAGCTCCCAGGAAAATTCACGGATACATGGTAGAACAACATCTAAGTGTGGCCAGCAACAGCTTTCCTCAAACTGTTTGCTGTACAGCCCCATTTTTTTTCTCCCAAACACACAAAAATCAAAACCCTGTCTTTGTATGCAGGTAGACAGCAATCCCCGGGGGATGACTGGTATTACCAACAGTCAGAACAAAGGATTATCATGAAGGCTTCACTTCTTCGCCACCCCAGTCACATGGAAATCATATGTTTGCTACTGATTAAATAGTGTGTATACCTGCTGCCTCTGTTCTGGAAGATGACCATACATTGTAAATCATTAAGAGAGCAGGAGAATGCCCAGACACAGAGACATGCACACACTTTGCTTGCCAAGTTGGCTGCAGAACCGTATAAAGGACGTAACTATGCAAACACACCTAAGTGTGGCAGGATTTTTTTGTTTGTTTGTTTACCCTTCAATCCAAGATAAGAAAAAGGTCAGGGTCAGGGTAACCGCGATTTCTAAGTGCCCATTAACCAAGCCAATGTTTTCTTTTGCTAGATTTAGGCTGGAGAAAGCCAGGACAGAGAGCACGCAAACAGCCGAAGGAACTCACTGCTTTGAGGATTGCCACCGCGTCCTGCTGGAGCCACGTTGGGTAGACGACTTCATCATTCAGAATGGCCTCGAAGAGGTCGTCCTCATTCTCCGCCTCGAAGGGTGCGTGGCCGCACAGCATCTCGTACAGCAGCACGCCCATGGCCCACCAGTCTACGTCAGGGCCGTACAGCATCTCTTGCAGGATCTGAAGAAGGGATTGGAAAGAAATATCAACCCTGAAGCTTCTTAAATGGAGCAGGGGAGGAAAAAGGATTTGGAAACATTAACACAGAAGTTCTCACTACTTCCTAACAGCGCTCTCTGCTAGGCTGGCTGCATGTCCAGGAACATATAGTTGATCTCAAGGTGGGAACCCCCAGATCAGCACAAAGGTACCTCAGATGCATTAAACAAGGGCTGAACTAGCTTGGCTGCTCACAGGGTCACCTGGGAAACAAGCCCTTAGAAATGATGCTAGGGCTTGGCAGGAGGAGAAGGGGCATTTCAGCAAAACTGGCTGAGCCTCAGAAGCGGCAGAGCAGCCATGTGTGTGGGTTGACATCGCCTTTTCCTTGCCCCTGGGAAGGAAATGGTCACCCGGCTCCGACGGCAAGGCTTTCAGCTAGAGAGGGGAAGGAGCGCGAGTGTGTGAGAAAGGCACAAACACCAACCACAGACAAAAATTCGATTGTGTTGAAGAAGGATCTGACACCCTGTCAGAACATCTGGCAGCATCTGGAGGGCAGCTGTTCCTTAAAGAGGTGTTTATTAAATTTGTAGTGAGATTGGGGAATGACAGGGAACAGGAGGAGGTAGAAAAAGGAACTGGGAAATGGGGGAGAATTCAATCTCCTTTCAAACTGGGCCAGTATCTGTATGTGCCTCAAGATTTTTGCAGCTGTGCCTCCATTTTTCACCTCACGTTTCCTAAAGAAAAATATGGGCTTATCCTGGTGCCTAGCCTGAAAGTTTACTCATGCTTTGCTTGCACCAGGGACAGATAATACATACACCTAGGAGGAAATCTTGCACCCGGCAGTCAAATAAGGTGTAGCTAAAGACACCAGAGAGTACACTTGCTGTTCCAAAGCTAACCTACGCTTTTCATATTGTAACCAAGGTTTCCTGGCCAAAGAAAGGTTTCCTATACCTCCGGAGCGATGTAGTCTGGTGTACCACAGAAGGTGGCTGTGGTAATGCCATCGTGAATGCCCTCTTTGCACATCCCAAAGTCTGCCAGCTTGCAGTGACCCTCGTAGTCCAGCAGCACGTTGTCCAGCTTCAAGTCCCTGCAATGAGAATCGTTCACCGAGTCGCTACGTGCTTGGAGCAGCCCCAGCACAAAGGCAGCGTCCCAGGCCTCAGAAGCTTAACCTGTAAACTGGACAAGCCTCATCATCATAAAAAAATAAACAGAAGTCATGCAGGAGGGGTTTTCTTTTGCTTCATCTCTTACAAAAGGGAGGGAGGAACAAACATCACTCTTCCGAACTACATTTAATATGGGCAGGTGCTATACGAGTTCGCCCACATGGCTTTCCAAACACACCACAAGCCTGGCTGGCAGAGCTGCTTCTCATTTAGCTCTGGGACTCGCTAGAGCAGAGGTTGCCAGAGCTGTCAAATTGCGTAATGATGTTATGATGCAGCAAAACGCACCGCACGGGACGTGCTCTGATTCAGCAAAGTGCTGCGCTGGGAGCACACAGCTGAAGCCGGGGAGGCGTGCAAGGCCTCTTTAGAGGGGCAGCAGATCCCCTCTTCTCCTGACGTGTGGGGGGTTAAGTCCCAGATTTCCCTGTATCGGGGCAAGCCTGACTGATAAAACCCACCTGGAGCGTTATCCAAGCTGAGAAGTAATGAAACTCCCTGCCGACACCACGCCACATGGGCGGGGGGAATCTTTGGCCAGCATGGGGTGCCTCCATCATAAGGCAAAGTCTTAAAGTCCTCCCAGATGTACTGATTCCAGCAGGACTGCACTAATGTAAGAAGAGAATGTCCCCCGTAGCACTCATGGCATGGGGACCTCTCCTTGCCATTGTCACAAGAGACCTGCAGCCAACCAAGCTGCAGAAAGGCACATTTTCCAATACATCACCTCTAACAGCCTGGGAGCGCCTCATCAAAAGCAGAGCTGCCAAAATGACAGAGCCCTAACAAAGCTTATCAGCTTGCCTGACCTTGAGATTGCCTGAGGGAATAGCCTGCAGTCAGAAGCGCTGTCAGGAACATGCCCAGAAAGCACGGGGTCATCTGCAGACTTAGGCAATGACTTCCTAAAAACACGTATCAGCTCGTAGCACCTCTGCTTTTCAGCTGCCAGACAAGCTCTGGGCACAGTCACGGATGGAAGAAAGGAGCTATGATGGGAGCTCTGTGCAGTACAAATAGGTCACAGTTCATTTTTTGAACTATCTATCTCAGGTATTGACCCAAGAGTTACACAGAGCCCTCACAGCAGCTCTGAGCCAGGGAAGTGGTGTTACCATCGCCATTTTGCTGAGATGGAGGACACCTTACAGGCCTAGACAAAGCCACTTTCAAAGTCATTCAGATGCCCAGATGAGGATCAAATAACTAAATACATTTGGGGGTCTCAGAGCCCCTTCATGAAATCCGTGCTGGAATTTGATCCATTTTGCCCTCTGGTTGGACACCTATTTCCCTGGGAAGGGGGAGCAATGGTGGTAACAGAGGTAGTGGCATCTCCTTATCAATACGAAAACCTATGGGTGAGCTGAAATCTGAATCCAGCTTGATCTTGTTCATCCTCCATCTATGATCTTAAAGTGAAAATCAGGTGGTTGATTGCTGTGTTGTGCACCGGCATTTCTATAGCTCACACCACCACCAGAAGCCTCTCTGGAGCTTGAGACAGCTCTCCCTCAACTTCACTGTTGCAGTGGAAAGACCAATGACGCATTGTGCTAGACAATCAGAGCCACAATCTGTCCTAGGGAGATAAGAAAAAGTATTATTAGCCTCTTTTGAACGGATGAGAAAGCAAGGGGTAAAGGTTAAAGAACTTTACCCGTGTCCCCCAGAGCCAAGACTGAACACCAGCTTCCTGAATTCCAGCTCCGGATCTTAATCGCAAGATCATACATCCTCTCTCTTCAACTTTAACACATGACATGGCAACACAAGTCAGCGAAAAGCCCTCTGCAATGATGCTGCCCTTCCCAGCAGGCCCACCAGCTATCCGGTGGCCAGTGAAATTTGGATGCCAAGGACAGTGCCCATGCCTGTCTCATGCTGCCATGTTTGCTCTGGGTGGGATGCTCAGCAGAAGACACTTATTTTTCCCCTTCTGAGAATCAAAAATGGCTGCTAAGGCATGTGGGCAAAGGCTTGTCCTGGAAAGGCTTTAGGCGAGCACAGTGAGAGGTATTGTACGTGCTCGCCCATGACAGTACGCCTTCAGCAGCAGTTTACAGCCAAAGCTCCTGTTGCTCTTCCCTGTGGTTCCTGGCAGAGCAGGCAAGCCCTCCGAGCATGAAGGCAGGCCTTGTTTCCAGGAATCTGCAATAATGTGGTTGAAACGCGCAGTTTATTCTTGGCTCTGTTTTAAATGCAGCAAACACCTTTTTGATCCTGGGCAGGCCTGACTGTTGAAGGGTGCCCCTAAAGGTGCAACTGGAAGGGGAATTTTGGTGAACCTGCTTGGAGATCCCCATTCCAAACCTCCCCTCGCTCCCCAAAACATCCGCCACGTCCTGGCATGCTTTGGGAATACCTCAAAATACACCTTCCTTCTATCCGAGCCAGCAGAAACAGTCACGTACATTGACTGAGCAGGTTACAGTCCCTCATGGAGAGCCTGAGGAGCAGAGGCAGGGCCAGCTCTGCAGACCAGATCACCAGCCACTCTGCTACTTCTCAGCCTCTGCCCCACAGGACACGCTGCAGAAAGCCCGAAATCCCTGCTAGCTGCGTAATGCATGATGCTGGTCGTCAAGATGGCAGGAGCTTCTGCAGGTGCAAGAGCACTCTGCGCTTGCTGCATCCTCCCAGAGAGCCTCTATATATGTAACAGCCATTAAATTTAAACTGTCTGCCTCTCACTGAGCGAGTACAGTTTTAACCACCCAAGGCAAACCTCCAGCCCTTTGGCTTCTCTACATTGTACATTAAACCCATTAAGAGCGCCTGTTGTCTCCTTCTGCAGCTGGGATACCGGCTTCTCCTGACTTCTTTCCAGCAACGTGAAATCCAAAACTTGCATTTTCTATTTTTACATAACCTGTAACGTGACATTAATCTGCTCTCAGTTGCTCAGGCGCTCTGGCTACGTGCGGACCATTTTAGAAGAGGACCTCCTGTGACCAAACAAGACTTCTCAATTCTCTTCACTTGGCAAGGCCAGAGAAGATGGCCCCACGCATCCCCCTTGGAGCAGGTCTCAGGGGCCAGTACAGCGGCAGGCTCAGCCACGTGGCTCCTCTCCGGCAGCCCCATAGGATAATTCTCTGGGAAAGTCGCGGTTTAGTCTCATGTTCGAGCATTTGTCTCAAGCGATCCCAGCAGTCGTAAGCTCTGTAGTCGCTGCTTGACGTCGACAGGTCTCCCCTTGCGCCGTATCCTGTGAACCAGCACGGCCACATGAGAGGAAAAACACTGACAGGTTTCTGAGATTTACAAGGAGCTCTTCATTTTCGCAGCAAGGATTCCGGGAAGCTGATGAAACTGGAAGTCATCCAGCTCAGAAAGCCCAAATCTACCTCATTTCCTTAATACTTGCATTTTCCATTCAATATTTTTAGCAGTTCAGTGAAGCAATAACGGAGGAGAGGTTTTCTGAGGGCTGCATTTCTAAGGTCCTGCTGAGGTTCTGCCTTTCACCGGCAAACCTCCACTGGAAAACAGGCTTCACCCGACTTAGAAAGGCAGCCTTTGTCCTCGCAGGCAGCTACGGCACATTGGCTTAACGGCCTCCGTTTAGTCTAGACCCAGAAGAAATGACAAAATGAGCTGCTTCAGCGTCACTCGCTGGAAGAAGTGTTCTTTATACATCTGCCGCTTGAGTTTAACGTTTGTAAAAAAACCCAAAATTACAATTGCAGATGATCCGGTCCTTTTCTGAAGCATCTGTCAAATGCGATCTCCCTGCACCAGGGAGTTTTGCCAGTGAATAGGTGTTATACACATACCTGCCACTCGCTCTGCTCAGATCATCTCACTCGTGATTTAGAAACTATATTTGAAAGGATGAGGTTTGGGGTTTTTTTTCCTCTTTTGGCTTCACCACCCTGTGTTGTAAGGGCTGTGCGTGTAGTAAGGATCTTCTTTGCAGTAGTAGTGGTGACAGAAACGAGCTTCCAGTTTCAGTGCCTCAGCTCGAGGTTCTCCCACGTTTGGCAATTCCAAAGATCCACTTTAAAGCTCGTAAAAGCCTGTTGCTCCCATCTCAATGCAAATCACGTAGTCATGAAAGATGTAGGTACAGAGCAGTGGGAGCTAGCCACGAACATAGGTGCAACTAGTGTAATAATCCAGCCAAATGTTAAAAAAATATATATACACACACAATTAAAAACAAAATCCCCAAACCTGGAATTAGCTAAATTAATGATTTCAGCACTTCTGAAAGGGAAAATTTTGCTTTTTCAAGTCTTCAGCACATAAGGCCATTTACGCACTCTTTTGGAAACAGCTTTGGGGTGAGCAAATGTGCACTCAAACTCCCTTTGCAAGCAGGGAGTAGATTTTGATTTTTCTCCACCTCTTCTGCTGAAGTCATTTTACTTCATAGAAATACTGAAATCTCCATCACGATGGAGAAAAATGTGTTTCTGTTGCCTGCTCTGGTAACCAAAGCAATACACGTTTCCAACTCCTGCTCCAGCGAAATTGTAATTATTTTTTTGCAAAATGAAGCAACTTCAACAGAGGAGAAGGAAAGACACGCAACCTGAGGAATAGCACAGTTGGTAAGATACTTATTGAAGAGGTAGGATTTTTGAAGTTGGAGGCCTTGCTCCAAATACAGTGGACAACTGACTTAAACCAGTATTTTGATTAAATAAGGAGGAGAACAGATGGAGGTCTCAGTTTTATGTAAAGCCCTAAATACTCACGTGAAGCTAATATCATTTCGATTTTCCTTTGCATTCATTAATAACATCCAGACGAAAATATTTTATTTTACTTGAAACCAACACTCTCTTGAGTTGCAAAAAAATATTGTTGCTTTAAAAAAGCCCTAACAATTATTTTGGGCCCAGAAAATCTGAAACAATTTTCTACCTTTCTTTCCACACCAATTTTGTAGACTCAATTACCAAAC